CGAGTTTTCTTTTCAGAAGGTCAGTATCATTTAAGGTTATTGAAAGCGAGGAAACCTGTTCTGCCTTTATAAGGAAAACATTGCTTTGGAGTTCTTAGGATCCACACGGTTATAATGAATAATGAATGTATGGTACTTTGTGTAGCGTTTAGCTCAGCCTGAGAAGGAGAAAATAATGGAAGTCTCTTCTTTCTGCCTGTGTGTTCAAACGAAGGAAAATCAAAGCTGTTATACCAGAGCTATATATCAGCTAACATATTTTAGGAACTGTGGAATGATCATAATTACAAAAAAGTCCTCCAGAGAGAAATTATGACTCATAGTTTATGTTCTCTTTAGTGTTGCTATGGAAAAAGAGGTTAGTGCCAATGGTCATACAGCAATATTAATCTCTGATCTGAAAGAAAAATAAATAACAATCTCTAGCTTAACCCAAAGCAGATTTATTCTCAGTTACTGCAGCACACTCCATTAAAGGGGATAACCATGTAAGAAAAATTAAAGATGACATTGATTATCAGTTCTCAACATGCAGTTACAGTTCCTTATTTGAATTAGTGTGCACTTCAGACTCCTGCAAATGACTTGGTGGAGTGAGAGGAAGGGAAGAAAGGCATTTTGATCAAAAGGAGGGCAGGAAAGATCAGCCACGACCGACAGCTGCAAGTATGCTGATTAGAATTTCTTTATGCATGCGGCTAGGCTCAGCCTGGGGTTGATGCTGGTTCAAACGCAGCTCCTGAAGCAGAACCTTGGCGAGGGTCAGTGTAAAGCGGTGGAAAGTGGCTATCAGCCTTTTTCCATTAATCTGGGACAGCAAGGGCTGTGAGTCAGACAACGGTGGATACTTGGGTGCTGAGTCAGCACCCTCTGGGCTGCTCTGGCATTTGTTTCCTGCCAGTTGTTTAGTTGCCTAGGCAAAACCCTAACCAGGATCGGGGCCAAACAGCTGCGTGCTTGCTTTGTTCCGAGTGGAGAATCTATTCCTTTGCATGCAGGAGGACTACCTGACACCTCTTGACACCCAGAGTAAACGTGTATGTCTCAGTGGGTCACAGTAAAACTCTTCTGCCTGCATACCTGACTGTGTTTTCAGGAGTTGGAGCTATGCCTGCTGCTTTGTTACTTGACAGCAAACACTTGCAGTCAGAACTTAGCTTGAGATTCCACTCACAGTACACCCCGCAAAGCAGGCTGTAGCCTTCCTTTCTGCCACCCTGTTGCATCTGCCGTGCTGATGGCAGTAAACCTTTTTATTCTGTTGATGAGCTAAGCAGATTGCATTGGGGAGATACATGGATCTTATGTCCTGCATCTATGCACGCAGCTCTTACTGGTGGTCACCGGAGTTCTACGTGTGGCCCAAAGCCGTTGTATTGCTCAGAGAGTCCTTTGAGCCAGCTGAAAGCTTTTCACTGACTTTCAGGGCTGGAGTGGTCCCTTGGTGAACAGTTTGCCCTCTATCGAATTGCCATTACTTCACTAATTCTTCTGGGTTTACCTCTTTTAAGTATGTGACTATCAGCCATCAGCCGCACAACTGTTTGGCGTTACAGCCTGTAACAACAAGTGGGTCTCATTGCATCAGTGTAAAGGGCAAAGAGGTGTATTTTACCTTCTGATCCTTTTCTTCTTCTTCCCTTTCTTCTTTCTCTTTAATCACCAACACGCTTCAGCAAGGCCTGTATGAGGGCTTTCACTGCACTCTTGTTAGACAGTGATATGGTTCAGAAAGCCCATACTTGCACCTTTTCACAGAGGAGCTAGCTCAGGGATTAGCATATGGGGGTCAACGTGATCCTCTTTGCCCTTTTCCCCTAAAAGGGGACAGAAATGTCAGCTGGTTTTCTGGCATTGAAAATGAAAGTATCAGCAGCCGCCGAGTGCTGCCAGTTTAAATATTTACACCATAAGGACTTTATCACACCTTCTTTCTTTGTGCAGAGCTCCCACCGATTCCAGCAGAGGTCAAACTCTGAATCCGTGCAGCAGCCAACAGGTCGGGTCTTCTAAGGAACGATGGTATGAGTGGAGCGCGCAGGCAGAGCTGTACCCATGTTATCGTGTCAAGAAGGGTAAACAAGCAGTTTTTTTAACCAGCAATTATGTAGACAAACCTGTCAGCACAAGCATGGAATACCCCTGCATATGCTTGACATCTGCCAGCCTGACAAGATCCAGGCACATGCTTCAGATACTTGAAAGAATACAGTGCTGCTGGTGCTGCAGTCTGTCTCCTCCCTCAAACACTAAGTTTTGCAAGGCTTGTGTTTGTAGTCGGGGCTCAAGAATGGAAGGAGAGGGGAAGAAACAGCTTGGGGGACATCTCAGGATCCTTCCAGCTTCTCCTCTGGTTTGTAAGGTAGCACAAAAGCAGACATTCAAGAATTAACATTTCTTCTTCTCTTGGAAAGCATGCTTTCTTACGGTTGTTAGAATTACAGGCCCACTTGTCCTTGTAGATGTTATGATCATGATGGAGAAAACATTTAATTCTAGCCCTGCAACTGATGGTGGTGTGTGTAGTGTATCCTGAAGTATTTGAATTAATTCTCTCAGATGCTCAGTATCTGCATTTCCATTGGTTTTTCTGGATAGCACTGTAATGCTCTTTCAACACCGCGCATGGGATTCATTTCAGCATCTCTAAAACTGGGTAAAGCATGGCCAAGGGTATTGTTTGAATTAAAGCTTAGCAGGACAAACAAACCAGGCCTATCTGAAAGCAAAATGTAAACATGATGCTGGGGCTCCTGGTTAGCACTTGGTGGCTGTGGGAAGTTGACAGCTGTTACATAAAGGTTAAACATGCATTCTTTGGTCTGTCACTAAAATTAAGCCTGCTATAGACTATGTGGCACTCTAGAAGATGTGAGTTTATCTGTGTGCATAAACAGAATATACACTTCAATATAAATATGCTTTTCAGGACTATTTAAAGTATTAGAAGCATGCTGCAGTCTAATAAAAAATGCAGATGGAACTAGCAGATTTGGAAAGTGCCTGACTACATTCAGATGGGTTAGAGAGCTGACAAGTGTCTGGAAAGCAAAGCACTGGTGTTTGCGTTGCTAAAGAACAGCAGAGGATGAGAAAGAAAACGGTATAGGTACAACAGGGACATGAACTGAAGTAATAAATGCTTGACCTTTAAATTTCATCTTTGCCAGCTTCTCAGAGTGCTTATTCCAAAGACTGACGTGGCTGTGTTTTATGTTATGCTTTTATTTGTCATAGTTGTAGTTAGTTACAAGTAAAAATGATTGAAATCCATTGTAGTTAATACAAAATAAAAATATAGCTGCATGAGTTATGTAATGATTTTTCTTACAAACAGTATCACCTGTATGATACCACACACTTAAGAGCTTAACTCTTACACTACTCACCTACACTAAGCTCTTAGTGACTAAGTTCCAGTGTGATTTACTGGTTACAGATATTAACCCTGTGGTGCAATACCAGCTAATCATTTCATAATGGTATTTTTGCTGGAGTTTTTATTTCCCCTGTAATTTGTGATTCTAAATACAAGTTGAAGGAAGTAACCTCTTAGTGCAATGTTATGTATCAGTAGAGTTTTATACATATATAAAAAATAAAATATAATCCACTGCATAAACAACCAAGGATGTAAGGTAACTGTTGTGGGTTTTGTGCTTCCCTTTCCTCCCTTCCCCCTTACCTTTTGTTAAGTGACAGGAATGAACATTCATAGTGAACAAACTACCCTGTAACCTCTCGTTTTCAATTAACTCTGAAAAATTACAGACTTGTAATTCTGAGAGCAGGTAGGTGGCTTTGACGAAAGTTATTAGCAGAGAATCAAATCCTGTGGCTTTGCAGACTCATCCTTACGTAAACTCATCCCTGCCATGAAGTTCAGTCCGTAACATATTGTTCCCTTTAGACGTGCCTAAGTGAGTGTTTCACCTTTTGGAAAGAATTGTCCTTACATCCCTGTAATTACCTAACTCTTCTGTGTAGATATATCTTCTATATAGGAAATAGTTTGTAAAAAGATAAATTATGCGTTTTCAAAATATTCTGAGATATGAAGTTGTGCAGGTGCAAAGTTTGATAGTATAGCACTATAAAGATTAAGAATTAGTGTTATCTGAGTATAATTCTTTAAGCTAGGTGTATAGATTTAATATTGGGGGGGGGGTTCTTTTTGCTCTTTTTACATTTCATAGGATCTCATACTTTCTTGAGACTATCTCCATGTTTTTATCAAATCCCTTCTATTGTTTTTCTTCCTTTTCAATTTCTGATCCTGTAAAGGTACAGTAACTGATCATACATTCATGCCTGTCACTAGTGTACTTCCATAACTCTGGTAGATTGAAAAACATCTTTTCATTTCCATCTAAACATAGTCATTTCTTCTAAGTGAAATAGCAGAGACTATTGGCAAAAGTCTTTCCCCTACTGAAATGGATGGAACCAACTTCTTGGCTTCTAAGCACTCTGTTCTTTTAGTCTTACAGCATCGTGGAGCAAACGAACTATACGTGTATGCACAGCTACTGAGGCTGTTAGTATTCATGGAGCAAAGCAAGGAAACCGAAATCAAATGTTCTCATTGGTATTTCTACATTTACATACAAAACTACTCACAGTGCTGTGAAATACTTAGAAAGAAGAAAACAGAAATATTTGGGTTTTGACTACTCTCCATGCATTCCTCTGAGCTAACTACAAGAGAGCCCGCTGACCAGCTCGCTTCTACCAGACATACTCTTTTCCTGCCAGTCTCTTACACCAGCTGACAGCATCTCTAAATTAATAAACACTGGTGATTCGGCCTAAAATGGAGCATGTTGCAGCCTGTGACATTGACCTTGTTCACTCTGCATTCCAACACAATGCAATAAATTACCACTGCAGAGAAAAGGATGGAAGAAACTGAATTGCTACTACTGCTTTTGTAGCAGAAACCAGTTACTCGCCTAAGTAAAACTGTGTGTATCTGGAAGGTGAAGGAAGGCTCAGGTTGATTACGCTGTTTGGTCTATCTGCAGTACAGCTGCTTGGGTCGTTTCTTCATCAGATTGTTCCATTTCTGCGCCGACTGGGTTGTTTCTTTCATCATAGAGTTTCTGGCCAGAAACTTGTAGAGGCACCCCGTACTCTTCATCGTCTTCAACAATGGACAGCTCGATGTTGTTGTTCATCATGGCATTCCCTTCCATTCTTGCTTCCTTCTCTAGAGAATCGGCTACTGCTTTGCCCTCCTCGGTCAGTGAGGTGGTAGGGGTCATATCTGAGTGCATGCTGGTGAATGACACTTCATCCTCATTCTCAGCTTGGTCATTGCTTGCAGTTCCTGTTGGTCTGTCCTCGGCTTCAGCAGGGCTTTCTCCTTCACGGACTTTCTTCACGTTGAACATGAGGGGCGATACTTTGAAACCTGAACTCTTTGAAGAAGAGGACTTTTGATGATGTACAGTAAGCGATTTCTTGATCTTTTCTCTCCGTTCAGGTGAGACGATCTTTGTGCTGATCTTGTTCATCTTCTTCTCAATGTTTTGGCGAGAAAATGCTTTCTTGAGGCTGTCTACCTTCTTAAGGCTGGATCTTTTAAGTTTCTCAGCTCTCGATTCTTCTGTTTTCTCCTCTCCACTGTCATCCATATCATCTTCCTCATGAAACATTTCATCATCCGAATGCAACTCCACTGTTTGCAAGGTTTCTTCCAGTGTTTTGTTCTCATCCACAGGTTCTTCTTTTCCTTCTGTAATGCTGGGAACAGGCTCTTTTGCAAAAACACTGGCAGGGATCTCATTTTCCTCCTGAAAGAATTGACAATATTTGAGTTTCATAGTTCACAGGACACTAATTTAATAAACAAAGCACAACCCTGAACAATTACCCCCCACACCCTAATGAGATGAAGACTGCTGAACATTTCTTCTTGTCTCAGTATATTTAACCAGTAACAAACCACTCAAAGCCCACTGAACCATTATCTGGTAAAGTTAAAGACTAATGAGCTCTCAGCTCTAGGATTTCTCTTTCAGAGTGACTTGGAATATATACAGAATGGGAATCCTGTTCATTGTCATTTAAATTGGATGCTCTTTAATGAGAGTTTAGCTGTAAAGTTTGTACACCTGTCCCTGGAGAGGAGGTATCGTGGCTAAGGAGCTCGTACTACAGACCCCTGCATAGACCTACAGAAGTCATGTAACCCCCCAGAGCTGTCACTTTCTCTAGCCAAAGACTGGGAATATCTCTGCAGAGATGTTACGTGCATCTGACAGGCACCTTAGATGGCAAATGCAGTTAGCACTTTCATTCTATTTCAGCAAAATGTATGTTTGTTAAAAATGGATTGTTGATACTGAGAAGCTATGCAGTCTATGATGTTTAGACTATGTGCTATTTTACAGCTATTCACAGGAGAAAAAAGTTAGTGTATTTGGTTGGTAAATATTAAAAATAAGGACAGAACTCCTTGAAAAAAAATGTTTATGGCACACAAAAATAAACAGACATTATATCACATAGAAAACACACTTCTAGCTAACAGGAAAATGATTGCTTTTTAGAAACAAAACCAAGAAAGGGCATGGAAAGAGAGAATATGTCTGAAAACAAACCAGGCTGACCGAGGGCAGAAGCTGCAACTCATAATGAAGGACCTCGGTGGCTGCAGAGCGCAGAAGCTCTGCAACCCTGAGCAGTTCAGGGGCAGCACAATGAACACTCTGTTCTGCAGTAGGATTTGCAGGCATCTGCCCTGCAAAGAAAACGAGACTCCTCGCATGCTCCCTTTTCCTTCTGGAATTGTTATGCCTTAGGTCTGCATAGTGTCCATTCATTACCTTTTTTATCACTCTCAGACAGAGTGCATGCAGTATCGCTTAGCTGTATGGATTGGAAGGATTTTCTCGCCTCCCCCCATCCCATTTATCGTTAGATAGGAAAAGCAGTAAGTTCTGAGTGAAATGGTTGTAATAGTTTCAGATCTGTCCCTAGTGGGCCTGAGTGTACAGTTAAGGGGAAGAAAGGCCACATACACTTTGAAGCTCATGCTCATTATTTCAGGACTGAGCATGCAGTTGTGATCACTGGAGAGAATAGTGTCTTGGGTTAAATCTGCTGTTGACACTCTGCAAGAATGTTTTTAAAAACAAAATACTCCTGGCTACCTTGTAGTGCTTCTGGAACTCAAGAATATGCATGTGGCCAGGCAGAATCATTTTACACCATACATACACAGTATATACTCATATATGCTGTGATTTAAGTGTGTGGATGTGTGTATCTCATAAAATGAAAAATATGAATGGCAATTGGCAGTTTTACAGTTGTATGTGCTTTACTTCTATAGTTTCTGCACATCTTCCTGGACCAGCAGCCTCAGCCATGATCACTGGCACAGACAAAGCTTTCCGCACCCTTTGCCTGCAGTGGAACATCTAATAGAGCCAGCCATCCTCTCCCAACATCTGTGATGTTATTGAAACTATCAGCAACAGCGACCAAGAAAACACAACAAAGGAAACCTGCACCAGCTTTAAGTGAAAGCAGCTGTAACTGCAGTACAAATATTTATATTTTCTCTTCACTGCAGTTAATGAAATGTGGATTACATGAGTGGGTGCAGTGTAAAATTATTCCCCAGAGCATGACAACTCAGTATGAAGCATAATTTGCATGTCTCGTTCATTCTTTTCAAACCTAGGTAATCACGTGCTGCTTTAAATATCTGAACACTCAGGTGCAAGTGTCTGAATGGCATAGAGAACTCTGATTTTAATGAGTAATGATGGGTTGTAACTTCTGAAGTATTTAATCTAGGAAAGTGGTGGTGTGTGAGATGGATCACAGCACAGTCTAAGCCAGAGATGGACCTCTGTGGCTCTTCTCAAGGTCAGTTTAGCTCTTTGTCTGCTGTACTCACATTAAACTGAAGTACTGCATGCAGTCTCTAGAAGAATATGGACATAGATTTCTATTTCAATTTTTATCAAATTTGTGACTGAGTAGAAGAGAGACTGTCAAGCAATCCATATTCATAAAGAAAAAAGCCAAATGAAGATCTACTAAAAAATAATGAGCTAATGATTCAATTAAAAGCAGTTTCTAGGTGGTCTTTAGCTATCAGACAGTCAAGAAATCACTTCTCTGTCTCAGCCTTCTGAATGGCCCTGGAAAACATAAGCCTCTGGGCATCTATTACTCTTCGTATAAAATGGGAATGACACGCTCTCTTACCTCACGTTTCTAAAACACTTTAGGATCACAGGACTTATTAAAATGCAAATGAAAATAAATCAAGATGTTTTTGAAATACAGAGGTGGTATAGTAGGAACGCTGTGGTGGAACAGACGTTTCTGTTTCAAGTGTGGTTACTGATAACATGTTCTAAGTGGGCTATTGGTAACTTTTTGGTCTAACAAGTTTATATGACAGCTATATTTTGTTTTGATGCCTTTTTCAAGCAGTCTGGTATTTCATCTAGGAAGACTAGAACAATACACTGAAAAATGCCAGCTGTTACAAACTGCATAACTATTTTGTGTGCCAAAAAATGTAGAACTTTGATCTTTTCTTCTTGATCTAATCTAAAATTCTGAGAAAGCAATACATCTTCTTATTTTCCACATCCGAGTTCAAAAACAGCACTTGCATTTTCTCAGATGAGCTTGACTGTAGGTAGCTAGCTCCTCTGAATTTTATTTTTCCATGTAGGAGACAAATAGAATAGCGCAAGTTCTTTGTGTAAAACAAGCCTTGCTAATACTAGTAATACCTGCAGAGTTAAAATCAGTGCCTTCCCTGTGGCTTTCATCAGCCATTTTCTGGAGCTTTCTACAGGTCATAAGCTCATCCCTCTCTTTCACCAGGAAGGAAGGTAAGATCCATAATGGTGTACTACAAAACTGGATGGCCTGAGTGAGCAGGTAGTTAGTTTATTCAGGAGCACTGCGTTTCTGATGCTGCATAAGGAAAATCAGTGTGCTTTCGTTTGGGTTTTTGTTAGATTTATTGTAAGAGGCCATGGCCTTCAAGAAGGTGAGATGGCATTTCCCCATGCTTACAGCAGTCCAGGCTCCTCTGCACTTTGTAGGTGCTGTTATGTGCCTACAAGATTGCTAGTCTAAAACTTGTTTTGCTACACAAAATAGCTCAGAAGATGACAAATCCTTCTAAAACCAGCAATATTTCCACCTACTTCCCTTCGAACAGGCTCTTCAGACCTGGATGTCACCACAGGGAGGGAGGAGGGCACGGAGGAGGGCAGGGAGCAGGCTAGGGCTGTGGGCAAGGAGGAGGAACTTGCTAGGTGCCCATTCGCCCATGAGTACAGGCTGGGGTATGGACTGCACCATCCCCCTGACCTCCTGCAGCAAAGCTGGATCAAGCCCTAAGAGCCACGCAAGGTATTTTTGTCATTAATCAATAGAAGCATATTCTCCCTGCAAGGCTCCAGTGGGACAGTTAGCCCTTAGATGACAGCATTACCAGCCTGTAATTCTCCTGCTTCCCCCACTTGTTCATTTCTGAGCTTGAAGTTGCTTTTTTGAATGATTACTACAGTGACCCAAACAACAAGATACAATCAAGTGGCTGCTTTTCTGTGCCCTTTTTCCTGCTTCATTTCAGTTTGAAGCATTTACCATGAGCAGCACCCGAAGTGGACTTGAACATCAGTGTGCTTGACCCCATGCTATAACTTTGACTTATTTTATCTGTCCTATTTACCAGTAAATATGAGATTTTAATTTAAAAATTAAACACAAGCCTCTTTAAATCTTGTATTTTGCTTTTGCAGCTAAAACAAAAAAAAAGGCAAACAAAGCCCCCACCAAACTAGAACCAAAAAGCTGGTCACATGGTGGGAACAAAATAGAGGGGAACAATGCCAAAGCTTAACAAGGATTTCTAAAACAGTCACTTCAGTGTTTTGCTGAATTGCTGTGTCACTTGTGGCATCTGTAATAACTTTTGCATCCCCAAATACTGGGAACGGAGCGCCCTTAAAACGTGTCACCAATTAAATAAATATATGCAAAGCAGGAACAATGCAGACAGTTTAGGGGAGAGAAAACTAAGTGCATTTTAATGGAAAATATGTAAATAGGTGACCTTTTCTCAACATGGTTCATTCTCAGCGTGTACGCTGAGGGAAAGCTGATGCTGGCGAGCGGCAACACGGCTTCATGAAATGCAGAGCTGGAGCTCAGTCGTGTGTTTTGGCTACACTCAGTGCCCCCACCAAGAATCAGGGAGTGTGAGGTACACGATAGATAAATGCAGAACTGAATCACAAATGTGTATTTTGGCTTTTGTACAAAGCCGTCTTCCTAAGCTGGAAAAGTGGGTTCTAATGAGAAACATGCGGAGTGGAATTTGGGATTGGTTTGGGCTTTTTTTCAGTGGAAAAGAAGAATCCCCCGGCTGAAGTCTCTTACATCCTGATTTCCCTTTTGTTTTTACAGAAATCTGGCATCGATATGGCTTCATTGTTGAGACTTCTCCTTCCTGCAATTGTTTTTCCATGGATTCCTGCTCGGGGCAGGACAGAAACCCAGCCAGCCTTCTGCTTTCCCCTCTATACAGTTATCCTAGCAAGGCAGTGGCCCCACTGGCTACTGGGCTGTCCCACCTCCAGCTTGTAAGAGACCCTACAGGGCGATGCCATGGAGGTGGGCACGCAGGTAAGGCGCCTGCCGGGGCTGGCAGCAGGTGGTGGGCACAGCCTGGCAAGCACCGACCCTCCATCCGGGTGCAGCTGCTTCCCCAGTGGAAAATCCCAGCTCCTCCCATGCCCTGGGAAGCTCCTCTGGCCAGCCTGGTTTTCCCACCAGC